CTTTCTAGCTATGTGCCTGTGATCTCAGCACTCAGGAGGCTGAGACAGAAGGATCAACACAAGTTGGAGGCCAGTCTGAGTGACACAGTGAGTTCAAGGCAAGCCTGACCTTGTCTCAAAGCCAAAAACAAACAAATAAACAAAACAAATGACCTTCTTACTTTGTAAAACATGAGAAGAGGTAAAGAACACTGAAAAAAAGACTAGAATTAAGAGGATAAAAGAAAAATGTCTAAAACCAAATAGTCCTGTAAGCTACATTTATAGGATCTTGAATCTGCCCCTGCTCTTTTAGGGTTTTAATGTAGCATCATACAGAGTAGTTTAAAAAAAGGAAATTTTAAAAGAAGCCAGTTACGTGTGTCTTTAAAGAAATATTATCACTACTTGAAGAGCATTACTGAGCCAAGACTATACCCAGAGCTTTAAATATATTATCTCATTTACAAATTATATATGACAGTAAATAATGAATACATGCATCATATCTCCCAAGAAACTAGATGAAATAAAAACACAGGAAATTATAGACAAAGATCTAGGAATTTTCTCAACTTTACATGTGAAATACTTATAAATTAAAGTACTATATAATAAAAGTATATATACCTCATAATAAAGTAAGTTTCTTACAAAAATACTTAACTGCATTAAGACTGTTCTCCTTTAGGAAACAGCAATAGTATATAGCACACATTCTTCCTAGTGACCCTCATTTAGGACTAGAAAATCAGTATTTAATAATGAAATTTGAATTTGCCATTATAATATAAAACTAAATTAGCAATAATACAATCAGTACACTAAAATAGAGTACCAGAAGCTGATCTTAATAAGGATAAATAATGGACTACATTAAGTACTTATTTATTTTAAATTCCCTATTTCCTACTGAGGTATAATTTGAAGCTAAGTACTAAGAAGTAGTTTAACAAAATAGTTTGATTAATTTTAATAGGAAAAATTACAGCAATAAGAGCTAATAGATAATAAAAGACTCAGGTGTCTTAAAAATCTCAAAACATCTCAGTATTAATAATAAAAGTCAGGAAAAAAATAAATAAAAAATAAATAAAAGTCAGAGCTAAAGGTAGTGGTGTATGCCTATAATCCCAGCACTATGGCAAGCTGAAGCAGGTGGATCACAAATTCAAGCACTGTCTGGGCAACTTGGTGATCCTGTCTCAAGATGGAAAAAAAGAGGGAAGGGTTTGGGATATACCCCCCGGGGAAAAAACAAACAAACAAACAAACAAACAAAAAACACTAAATAAAATACAGTCAGTCACAAAGGTATTCAATGTTATCAAGTGTAACATAAATCATCTAAAGTTATTTTAGGGCCAGGGATATAGCTCAGCAGCACAGCACCTGCCTGGCAAGCATGAGGTCATAAGTTTGATTCCTGGTACCAAAAAATAATAATAAAGTAAAATAAAGTGTACTTTAAAAATTATAGTCTTTTTGAGATAAGGTCTCACTATGCAGTTCAAGCTGGCCTTGAGCTCATTTTGTACCCAAAAGCTGGTCTCAAACTCCCAAAGATCCTCCTGCCTCAGCCTCTGAACTGCTGGGATTATGTGTGTGTGCCACCATACCTGGCCTAAGGTGTGCTTTGATAAGCTTGCTCAGGACAATCACTAAATTCAGCATCCTAGCTTGTCCTCATTCATCTCCTCCTCCCACATATATTCTTCAAAACTCTGTCCCATGCTGGGAATAGTGGCATATACCAGTAATCCCAGACTAGGAGGCTAAGGCTTGAGGTCAGCAGTGGTAGCCTCAAACACAATGACTTCAAAACCAGCCTGTACCACAAAATGAGACCCTGTCTCAATAAATAAATAAAACAAAGCCAAAGCAACTCTGTCCCCAATGTGGAAATGTAGATATTCTGTAAGTAGTATTCTCAAATCTTCTAGGATATGAAACCACATAAACCAAACTTACCAAAATCTACTATTTCATGGAACCAATAAAAGTCAAAGAATTGAAACAATGCTTATCAACTTCCTCAACCATGAAAAAGTAGTGAGTACTGACTCAATTCAAGTGGTATTTATTAATTCAACAAACACCAGGTGCCTGCTATGTAATAGCATTATGCTAGTCACTGAGAATACATGATATAGACAATATGCATGCTCTCAAGGTACTTCCATTCCAAAGACAAGAACCCACAATGAAGTAAAAACAGTGACAGAATCCAGCACTAATGTGATTTCTACTAGCAAGTTTAGTCTCATGGCCTACTTCATTTTATTTATGTAT